CACTTTCCACAACGAGAAGTGGCCTTTTGCCAGATTTTTCTGTGCTAATCTGGTAATGATGTCTGTCAGCATCCAAGTCAAGGGTGGATCACACACCTCATCATCCCAGCCAGTCATCACAGAGCTTGTGTGCCATTTTATAAATGCAGTTGCAACACAAAGCCAGCCACATCCTGGCAAATGTCCAGTCAACTTCCCACACTAGAAGATGCTCTGATGAGTGAGAACATTAGATAGCAGTGGGAGGTCACTCCCGCGACTCTATTGCAATTTGCCCCACTCCTCTCAGACATGTAATCCCAGCACACAAGTGCCATTCTCTAAACACTCTGGATCCTTACTTGTCAGTCTGAATTGCTGAAGATGTGCCCTTACATGTGCTGCCGTGCATATACTCTCATTGACAAATATGTCATTGATGTATGAGGACATGGCCATCTGGATGGTTTTGTCCTGTGCAACCACAGCATTCACAATTGATTGCTTGATCAGCAGTGCCACATTGAGCCCAAAACACAAATTGGTGAGATAATATCTTTGCCCATCTATCTGCACTGTTTGAAAGGGCCATTACAGTTTGTCAATGTGGATCTGCAAATAGGCACAGTGCAAATCCAGCACAGCAACATCCGATCCTTCCTGTTGCCACTTCCTCAAGTGTGCATGACCACATACTGATTGAGCTCTGGATAATCCATGACCGAGTGGACCTTCTGTTTTCCTGCAGCACAGCCATTAGTGGGATGAGGCCCTTGATGGGTGCTGAAGTTCTTCCTTGGGATACAGAATAGCCAGCTGTTATACATCCAGGTTCATAGTTCACAAGTATACTCCCCCCCCCACTGAGTGGCTTTGGATACTTGGCTGTCTGGTTCTTCAATTCAGGTGGTGTCTATTCATCAGACCACTTCCAAGACACAACCCAGTTCTTCTTGTTCTGGTCATACTCCACATGGAAGCCAGGTTTGTTGATAGTGATGGCTGTGCACAAGAGTAGGTCATGTTGAGAAAAGCCCACAATCTCATTGCTGGACACACATGCTCCTCCCAACTTCTTGATGATGTCAAATCCAAGTAACAGGTTGAAACCAAGCAATTTTTTGTCCACAACCAGAACTTCAACATCGATAGGGAACCTGTTGCTCACATCAAGTTGAATAAGTCCTACTCCAGAGCACTTGAGGGTCCTTTCACCAACAGTGAGCATGTCCACATCTTTCCTCTTTCAAGAGTGACACAGTGGTCTACAAGGCTAAACTCCTTATTCCATTGATGCATACAGCAATTGTGGGTATAGAGCTCAGGGATTAGACTGGTGCTAAGGCCTATTCCCCTGGATCATTTCCCGGGCAATTGCAGACTACATGCCCTACCATATTGCATTTGTAACATTGCATCCAGGGTGTCCACCTTTCAGTATGTGGTTTTTTGCAGTCCTTTGGAAAATGATTGGGATCGTTGTAATGATAGCATGTGATAGTGCCACCTGGATCCCCGGTAGGAAGCTTCGCCTCATCCCGTGTTGTTTCCACTGCCACAACTGCCAGCCCCATTTCCAGTACTTAATTTTTTCATAACTGCTTGCACTTGAGTCAATAGCTAGTTGATAACAACTTGTCCATCTGGGTCGAGGTGTGAAGGAGATGTTTAACTTGGTCTGGTAACCCTTGCACGAATACACATGCCAGGCGACGGTCAATCATTCTGCTGAATAGGATGGAAAGTTTTTGTAACTCTGCCAAATAGACATCTACCAATTCTCCAGAACAGAGCCATTGCTCAGCAAATTGCTCATAAGCTAGAAAACTGTTCGTAGCAAAAGATGTGTACAGTGTAGACTTTATCTGGCTGAAATCCTCATTTTCTTCCTCTCTCAGCTGCTGGTAGACAGCAAACGCACCACTCATTAACCTTAAAAGGACCATGTGTTCCAGACATTTAACCTGACACATCTTACAGACCAGCTCAGCTTTCTCAATCCATTCAACCACAGGTGGTCTAGATGCAGAGCTGTCAAACTCGGGAATAAGTTTGAGGTCAAACTTCCCTTCCATCATTTTCGCCAAAATAGCTCGTGTGAAATTGATCCAAGTAGTCTCTTTCCAAGTGACAGTCTTTCCATACAAGCAGCACCATATTCAAAAATGAACTCTACTATATTTTCTTGTGATGATTTTTATGCCCAGCTGATCTCGCAAAAAAAATTTGCATACGTTCTCCCACTCTCACAAATTCTCCAAGCTCCAAGATCATGTCTTTCTTGTATTAAGGTGTCAGGGCGGCCATATTTCTTTTTCCTTTCCTCTCTTTCACTCATTTTGCACGCTAGGCATATATGTGCTCGCTTTGTCACACAAGGTAAGTTGTCTTCTCTTCTACAGATATAATCATTCATAATAATAATAAACTGTATTCACTAGCTGCATATTTAAAGCATGTGTGACCAGTCAGATTCATACACAAATTCTGCTCAAAATAAAACCACTGATATTAATGTCAAGATCCCTTATATGGATCGAAAAAGTAAAATAGTTACATTCAAAAGAAATAGCAAAAGTGCCGGACCAATAACACAAATAATAAATTTCTCACAATCAAACCAATCCAAAGTAAATGGAAGCAAATGTCTAGAAAAGGAAGAAAAGATGAAGTAACAGTAGCCCGACTGCACATAAGCCACATATACCTTATCAATTCATACTTGCTGAAGAATGAAGATCAACCAACATGTACAATATGCCAAGCTTCACTTATAGTGAAACCCATTTTAACTGAATATACTCACTTGTAAGACATAAATACTACAAGGAACATAACATGAGAAAACTATTTGATAATACTGAAACTACCAACATAATGTCCTACCTTCATCATCATCGTCATCTTCATCCTTTGACCTCCCTATGGTTGGTCAGAACTCCATTGACAATCCAAACTGTTCAGTCCTGCATTGCTGGTCCCAGATCCCCAATGTCTAACCCTGAGTCCCAAGCTGTGTCCTACCTTAAAGAAATGGGTTTATACCAAAACATACAGGGTCTGCAAAAGTAGTTATACAGTAAGTATTATACCAGTATTGATATGTTTGTATAATCAATACAATACATTTTGTGCGCACATTTTGTTTTTCATTACTGTATACCAACAATATATATATAGTATAGCTGGCCACTTGTATTCGAGGATATCCGTCTACTATGGTGGCTAGCCAATCCCTATTGCAGACGCTTGCTCAGGCATATTCGTGTTTTGTTCAACACCTACAGAGCCCACCTGTGGTTTATACTACAACTATGCTGAGCAGACATTAGTTACAGTTTCTGGGAAAGAGCATGTTATCAACAGTTTGAACAAGGCCAGCACGCTCAATCCCTCAATCATGATGACATGTGACTTTGTGCTAGTACAGCTACCGACAGCACCCAAGGGTTCCATCTACCCAATTTCACTAGCAAGGCTTGGGTCAACCTGTGGTTATGATTTTCAGGCACTTTCCAAAGGTGCCACACACTGGGATCAACTCCTGCAATCCGATAACACTAGAAAGTCTCCTTCTGGACAAATCAACCATGGTGAGATTCAAACCCGGGTCTTATGGTCAGAATGCAAACATTCTAAACACTCGGCCATGTGCCCAATACCTACAATAGACCATTTATAAACTATATATCTATAAAATGTATGTTTACCATGTTATTTGTACCTATGCTGAAGTTAAAATGAATATTACAAATCGACAGATTATTCAATGAATAAGAAGAGTGTGTAAGTGATACTGACTTGAAAATCAACCTTTGAAACCTGCCTTTATTAGGACTTGAACTTCAACTGATGGAACACAGTTTTATACTAATTGTATCCAAATAAGATATTTGTATCTGCATATGTTTTAACAAGTGTCAAATAATGACTTCATACAAATTCAAATATGTACACAAAGGTTGCATTATAAGTTCATTAATCAATGATTTACCTTTTCAATTGAGAATCAAAAACATCTGGCCTTCTACGAAATTAAGGAGAACCTTATGTAGTGCTTACTAAATAGTTTTAAATAAGTAATGGTCATGTTAGGCTTTTAAAAATAAGTGGATGGGCATTATGGTGTAATGAATACCAGCTTGAAGTGAGATTTCTAAGAGTCAAGTTTGAATTCTAGTCATGTTCATTGCATTCAATTAAGTACAAATACCCTTGGAAAAGGTATAAATCTATCTTTTCTCTCCTGGGCTCTACAGCTTTGGTTGGCAACCAGTCTACTGCAGAAAGAAATAGCAACCTCTTGAATCAAAAGACATGATCGCCCAAGTGTGTATCACATATGGCACTTAACTGGCTGTATTTGATTGGTTTCAGACATGTAACTCACAAGTTTGTGGGTGGAGGGTCTATATTGACTGATAGAACAAATTGATGATCTAAGATAATTTTTAAAGTTGATCTTTATTTTATAGAATAATATTTGAGCTTCTGAAAAGTAAAAAGAAAAATATTGTCATGACCTTGTACTTCATTTACTCTCAAGTGGGCTAGATATTGGAAAATCTGTATTGACTGTAGGACAAATTGATAGTCTAAGCTGATCTTAAACTCAATCTTTTATTATTCTATATAATAATATTTGAGCTTCTAAAATGTAATAAGCAAAGTATTTGCTTGGCTTCATACTTCATTTACTTTAACAGAATTATTTTATTTTTTCCTTGGAGTATTGAGATTGTTGGTTTAATTTGATATTATCTCTTTCAAGTTTTTGGTACATGTATTTTCTTTCTTTTTTTATATATATATTTTTCAAATTTGTAAAAATGCCTAAGTTTGCATTTAAAACAAACTTTGAACCTCTTTAAAATGCTATATTAAAATTTTACATGTTATATAATTGATCATCCCACGGAAAATACAGAAGATGAATTGGCTTGAATATTTCTGTCTGGTTTTTTAATACCGAATCTCTTCTCCATATTATGTATATCAATTCTTTTTTTTCTTTGTCACAGGGTTTTGTTGAGCGGACAATAAAAATCAGTCAAAAATTGAAAAGTGAGAAAGGATTTGGTTTTCTCATTAAAGGCGGAACTGACCAAAAGACTCCCATAACTGTTCAACGTATCCAGCTTGGTAAGTTGTTTTGGAAATCATTAACTTTCATCCCTGCAATAAAATGGTGTGCCAAAAAGACAGTATTTTCTTTGACATTGCTATTATTTTTTTTATTTTTTATTTCATCAACAATGTTTGTTTTAAAAGGTAATGATTAGAATTTTAGTAAAACCCAAACATATGAAAGTGAATTTATATATATTCTTTGTTCTTTGAGAATTTACAATGAAAATATTAAACACTATTAAATTGTTTGTTTACAAGAATAATTTCATATTTAAAACATTCTAAAAATGTGAACCAACTAATACAATACAATGTTTATCATTTGTCAATTTATAAAGAAATAAATATGAAAACATTTTTTTTATTCATAAATTTGTAAAAAATGTCTGTCAAACATGAAAATTTAAATAAACGGATAATAAGTCACTGTAATTATAAATTTGAAAAAAAATGCATTTTCTGGGCATTTCTTTTAAATAATCATTGCCAAGGGAATGAAAGTAGTACAAAATAACAGCAGTTTTAAGGGGAAAATGTCCTTTTAACTGTTATGGAGTGGTTTCACAGTGGAGGCTTGTATTTGTACTAAGTCGGTCCTAAAATGGGTTCGACGTACAAAACATTAGGAACTTGATATAATAGGTAATGACGCAGAGAAATCTAGTTGCGGTCGCTGATACTTTAGTATCTGACTAACAGTCGTTCGGCATCGACTGACTGACCGACCCATTGAGTGACTCCTTCATTACTCTTACTACTCCTACTTATTATGGGTGGGAGAGTCTATTAACTATAGAATAGGTGTGTTCCACTATAACATTAACACACTGTTTTTTGTGTGTACAAAAGTTAGTTTGCCTTTGTTTGTTTCTAAGAATTTTGTTTTAGAAATGTCTTTGTATGATGTAATTTTTGCCATCATCATCAGCTCTGTAACTAGGTGTTATCATAGGGTTGCCGCACAATTGAGTACCTGACTATCTCCCTCCACATGTCTTGATAGGTATCCATTCAGGTGTAGCATGTCTTTGGCCAAAGTAAACATAAAACATTAATGGTAAAAATGATAAGAATCTACCTAAAGTGACTTGATAACCATTATATAGTAGTTAGTGTTATGAAATCCCATTTAGTCATTTGATTCAAAGGAGTGGTTGCCCTATTGGCAAGGTTTATAATGTGCCAACTGCATCCCTTGCAGATAAGAACTATCCCACCCCCTAAAAGAGGTCACTTTCCAGATGGACACTTGCAGACCTATGTCTACCATTTTGAAATCTGCTAGAAGAATCTGCAATATTATAGGTCCTTATCTGGCATCTCAGCTTCAGTCATTTTCCCATCACCATAACATAGGTTCTACTGTGCCTTTTCTGTAAGTATTTTCATGGTAATTGTTCTACTTTCCTCTTTGGTACCTAGACTTTACAAATTTAAGTGTAGTACTAGATTGGCAGCAAAGTATCATCATTTTACAGTTGAAATGGCTAGATGCAAATGTAATTTCTACTTACAGCTTCTTTCTTCCCAGTCAACTCTTACAGCTTCTTTCTTCCCAGTCAACTTTCATCTTCAAAAATGTAAATGCAATCTTCTGTCTGTCTTCATTCCGATTATTTATTGTTCTCTCTTGTCTCAGTAATGTTTATTTTCTTCATATTCTTTAACACTCAGTAACCACTTGCATCTTAGTGGCTTTATTGCCTTGCTTGGAGTGAAATGATTAAAAAAATATTTTTATGTAAGTATCCTTTCAGAACATGGGAAATCATAACTGTACATATTCCTATCCTTTGTAGCTCTAAGCAATGTTTGTCCCCTCACGATCACTCCTAGTCCCTGTCCCGCCATCTATTTTAGTCCCTGTCCCGCCATCTATTTACACAAGCTTGTTAAGTTGATCATGGCTCTCCACAACTTCCTATCCTTTGTAGCTCTTAGCAATGTCTGTCTCCCAGTCCATAATATTTTTAAGGAGAAAGAATAATAAAAGAACGGTAATTAAGAATTTATAACTGTGTGATATAGGTCTGATGATTCCTGCTAACAAAATCTATAAGAAATATTTTAATCTTTGGTTATTCACAGAGGTAAAGCAAGGTAAGGCAAGGGTGTTGCAGTCACCTTTGGGCACAGATATCAGGGGCACAAATTTTTGCCTGACAAAGAATACCTGTTTTTTGAAATAATAAAAATATTCTGAATGTAAATCTATAAAATCTAGTTTATTTTTCTGTCTATTTCATAAACTATGGACACTACCACAAAGGAATGGCCTTCCAAGTGAATTCCAAAACTCTGAACTAGGGATAGAGTATTGATTTACTCTAGCTGTTCCATAGCATCACATTTCAAGACTATTTTTAAATTATGTAAGTCTAGTTAGCATATAGATCTAATTAAGAAGATGCCAGGAATGAAAGCTGATTGGAACCAAACTAGTTCCAGGGACTTCTCACTTTTTGGAGGAACTATGTCTTCAGGAGTGTAGCCCTACTCACCACGCTTGGCCAATTGCAGGTTGGCGAGGTTATTTAAAGCCATAGCAGGAGGTTTTTAATTTAGAGTTGTCCTTCTCCTAGATTAGTTGCCACCAAAATCTTTCAATTAGTTCCAGTTTTACAATTATAATATTGGGACTTTATTTTTAGTAAAGTGTCAATTGATTCTTTGATATCGTCATTCAGAGGGTAATATCACAAAATATACCATAAAGCATTTCATTTTAAACTGGGAGTAATAAAATTATTTGTTCCCTTGTTATGTTACTGCTTATTCTGAAAGACAATTTATCTGTTTTATGCTTCCAATTTTCTCTCTACAGGAAGTGCTGCTGACGTCTGTGAATTGCGCTCCAAAGATGTCATAGTCAGCATTAACAAAGTGGATGTTCGGCAGTTTACTCAACAAAAGGCACAACAGCAGATAGACAAAGCAGCACAGATGGGCCAAATTGAACTACGGGTCAGGCGCTATTTCAGAGGCAGTGGTCAGTGTACATAAATTTTTTTTTATTTTTATTTTTTCAATTAATAAATATCTTTTTACTTTTTTTCCTGTTATTATGTACTGACTTCAGGCAACAGAAATGTGGTTCTACAGAAGGATGCTAGGAATACTATGAAGAGTGCATGTAAACAATAAGGAAGTTTTAAGGAGAATGGAAACAAAACAGACACTTACATATACAATCAGAAAGACATTTTAAATTTCTTTAACACATAATGAGAAAAGAAAGCCAGGAAAATCTGACACTCATAAGATTTAATGGAGGTAAAACAGACAGGAAATGAACAAATCAGTTCATATGTGATACACACTTAGGCAATCATCTCAATTAATGACTGACTAGCTAGAAGATTTTCCTGCATTAAGTTGCCATTTCTTTCTGCATTTGCCACCTAAGATTACAGGATTCAGTCTGTCATGCTATTTAACTCATAGATGAAGGGAGAAGATAGATTCATAACTTCTGTAAAGGGTATTTGTGCATAAGTGAATGTAGCAAACCCAACTGGAACTTGAACCTGGCTCTCCGATTTCTCATTACTAGCCACTATCCAGTCATCATCAACTACTTAAAAAGCTTGTCTAAATGGATAGTAGAACAGCAATGGGTGGGAATAGTTAAAACAAACATTGTGAAAAGTTACAAAGGATAGGAAGTTGTCAAGAGCCGTGATCACTTACGTTCAGAAGAGACATGGCACATAGAAGAAGAAGCAATCTTTTAACCTTCGTGCCCATGATAAAAGTGTCAAAAGGATGGTTTTTTTCCTTGACACAGCTATTATTTTAACTACATTCACTCCCTTGGCAATGTTTATTGTTCTAAAAAGCAATGCTTAGAATTTTAATAAAACCCAAACATGAAAGTGAATTTGTACATTTTCTTTGTTCTTTGAGAATTTACAACAAAAATATTAAAGACTATTTACTAAACTGTTTATTTACAAGAACAATTTTATATTTACAACATTCTAAAAATGTGAGCTATAAAAATGGGAACTAATTAATACAATGCAATGTTTATTATTTATCAAATCTATAAAGAAATAAATATTTGTTTTATAATTCATTGATATGTTTATAAAATTATGAATAAGAACCTATTTTTATAGTTATTTATAAAATAGTAAATAATAAATATTGCATTGTAGATGGTTTACATATTTTGATAATTTTGTAATTTTTCATAATTTTTAAATAAGATTTCTTTTTGCATTTATTTCTTTATAAAATGGTAAATAATAAACTTTTATAAAAGGTAGATAATAAATATTGCATTATATATTGTTCCTTTTTTTTTTATTTTTGTAAGCAAACATTGCTAAGGTACAAAATAATAGCAGTGTCAAGGTGAAAACTGTCTTTTTGAGACACCATTGTTTTGCAAGCATAAAGGTTAAAGTTTGCCAAAGAATTGTGCATTATGAAATGATCTGTCAATTTTACTTTTGTAGTTAGACTGTAATATGATTTTTGTTGTAGGCTTCATATTCAATTATCAATATTTGTCATATGAATGAAAACAAAAATAATCTTAAAAAGAAATAATGGCAATAATTTCTAGAATAGGACATTTTAAAGTTGAAATCAATTTTATTCATATAATAATGTAATTGTTTACATGTTAGTCCTGAAGATGAAAAATCTCCAGGACAACCGCTTAGTTAATGTTGTTCTTAGGTACACCCTGACTTGGATGGTAACACCTGTTAAGGTCCCAGCTATGGGCAAATATTGAACCACCAAACAAAAATCAACAATTTTTATAATAAAATGACCAACAATATACTTTTGTAACAAAATGACAATCAATGCAACACTAAAAAATATAAAAATACATTTTTATAGTAAAATTACCAACAATACATTTTATGATCTACAAAATATATATTTAAAAAACATACGTTTACTTTAAAAGTATAAAATTATGTACAAAATATCTGTAGCTGAAAACATAAAATTATGTACAAAATATTTTGATTTCAGCCTTAAATAACTCATAGAGGTGTTGATATGTCGCCAAACAAAATCAACCAACCAAATAACCAACAGGAAAGAACCTCTTTCATGATATTTCATAAAATCTCCTACAATTTCTCAAAGAAATCAAACTGTATTCCAAAATATAACTACAACATAAAACACACATATCACTGCCTTTAGTAATTATGTCCACACAAAAAGCTGAGTATCATCTACCATGTATTCAGTTGTGAAAGCAGAATAACATATTGTATTTTTATTACTTCAAAGCTCCCAAGAAAATTAAATTTTGGTATTAAATGACCGATAAGGAGTTGATATGCCGTTACACAAAGTCTCTAGGACCTTAAGTTAGAGTGAAGTGGTCTTGTCATTGCAGAGATGGATGCAAAGCATTCCATTAGAATTACAGTTAAGTTTCTTGACTTGTATGTGATGCATCCATTCATGGCTCCCCTCAACTCTCTATCTCTTGTGACCCTTAGCTGTTGTCCTTGCTTTGGTAAAGCCCTCCCACCCCCAGTTCTGCCTTCCATAAACTTGTCATGTATGTCAAGTCATTCACTGCCTTCCCCTATCTCTTTTGCCCTCAATATATCTTGTAGTGGTTAAGTTTTCTGAGCCCTCCTTCCTCATTATGTATTCATGATAATTGAAGCCTTGCAGCTGATCTCTTCTCTAAGACTTACAACCACACCACATTATACACTAGTTCCCATATGATCATCAAAGTTAAGCAATGTCAAGCTTGGTCATTACTTAGATGAGTAACCACTTGGGAATACCAGGTGCTATAAGCAAGGATATGTGTATTGTGTAATGGTTAATGGCTCAGAATTGTTAATTGGAGAGCTAAGTTCCAATTCCCATTGAGTTCATTATATTCACTTGCATGCATATATTCTTGGGATATCTTCTCCCACCTATGGGTTAATTAGTAAGGCTTGTATCACTAAATCATTATCTCCAAAAAAAAACAAACAAAATTCTTAAAATCTAAAAACATTTTCTGGCTTTAAATAACCTGCTAAAGGTTCATAAACCATAGAAAATGAATCTCTTCTCTGACCTTTGTCTTAACTGTTCAATGTTGGGGGGCTGACTGATAACTTCCAGTGTCTCAAAAAAAAAACAATCTAATATCATTTCATATATCTCACTTGCTAAAATTATCAACTTATTTTACAAATAACATTCTAGTTATTTTTTTTTATTGTTTTTTTTTGTTTTGTTTTTTCTATAATTCTCTTCCATTTTTATCTTTGAAGCAGAGAAATTATACAAATTAAACAGTCATCAGTTTTCATGTTTAGGGTTTGGGCAACGCACTTTACAAGTATAAAATTGAAGTTGTGAAAGTGTTGAACTCAAACTGTGTCCTGTCCTATCAGTTTAATATTCTTTTCCTCAAGCAGTATGAGTCCTTGTAAATGAGTGGGGCGATTTTTTTTTTTTTTTTTTTTTTTTTTTTTTTGTAAATGTTTCTATCTAAAATCTTATTCTGATGATAACACATTGACTGCCAACCACAAATAGTTATCTTGCTCTTGGTGTTTTCTGCTACGATTACATTTGTGGGAACCAACAAGTGATACTTTTAGTGCCAAAGTAATGTTAAGACTTCAGTTAAAACAATAAATCAACACAAAAATTTTTATTGCCTAAATTCGCTAATGTTTGTGTTCAAAGTCATATTTTGTAATTGACTTCTGTCAGTCTACATGTTAAAGTTGTTTGGAAAAAAAAAGAAATCTGGCTAACAAAATTTTTCATGACATATTTTCTATTTGGATTTGCTTTCATTTTTTACTTAGATCTAAAGAATATGACTCATTTGTGTGTAAGTGTATGTAAAATAGCAAAAGATAGATTAGATCTAAGGGGCAATACTTTTTATTTTATATATCGTGACCTATCTTGATATTAGTCAATTGAACTGCACTCATCAGTTAACTATTGTGAAGGGTCACATTACATGAAAGAAGTTTGTCTACCTGCAGCAGTTTGCCAATCACATGTTCTATTTTTAGAATTACTTAATTCTGCTTGCATGCACAATACATTTTTGAGAATATTTGTACCTGTACTTTGACACTAAAATGTAACCATTAGTTGGAGAAAGAAAAAATGGATTTTCCTCCCTAAAAAAAAAAAAATTTAAATACTAGGCTGGAATTTGAACTCTACTTGATATGATAATTCCCTTTTCTGTACTAATAAACATTACCCTATCTGTACACCCATGTTTCTGTTATACTGCAATCTATTAATTTGAAAATAAAGGATTTGGCAAAAAGATGGCTAATGATATGCCATTAAACAAGAAGAAAACTATTAATTTGCATTCAAGTGTCACTCCAACTTTCCTGGTTGTTTGTCAAATTATTTTCTAAATCTGA